TACGTGCTGCACCCATTCCCTATTCATTGCTGAGAAAGCTTCAGGGATGAGATGTCCCTGTTCCTTGCAGGGGGGTTGGACTAGATGACCTTTGAAGGTCCCTTCCAGCCCAAACGATTCTATGATTCTATGATTCTATGAGGGGACAGCCAGGACCATTTGTGTGGTCTGCTGAAGCGCCACAGGTTCCTCACACCTAGACTCCAGCTTTCGAAATACAATGTACAGTGCAGTATATTGTCATTTTAAACTGCACATCAGCTTTCATAAACACAACGATATTTTTTTAGTTGGCAGGGTTATAATCGAAACCTATAAAGAACTAGAGACACATGCCAAGAGAACATTTCCCTTCTCTGTATACTGTAAAACAGATCTACCAAATTTCAGAAAAGTTCGGATGCTGCACAGCAAAGTTGAAGACATGCAGAAGCAGCAGTGACAGATCAGTCACTCACCAAGCTCATAGTCACTAATAGTTTACGTGAAAGATACACGGCATTATAGGTTGTTTCATCCAGCAGACAGATGCATACCAGAAACGCAAGGACTAAAGGCTGAAGTCAACACAGGGCAACCAAAACGTGCAACAAAGGGGAAATCGATATTCCCCTGGAATATTACCGCTGTCATAAAATAATGGCAAATGTAATTGAGTTAGAATTTACAGCAGTAACATTTATATTCACCGCTGCAGAGACTTTAAATCAAGACTGATGCATTTCAAGAAAAGTATGTTCTAGTTCAGTCAGAAATTACTGGTCCAAAACGAAGGAGTAGTCAGATGAAATCTACCACCCGCAACACAAGACGTCAGAGCAGGTTATTAAAATGGCCCTTCCTGGCTGTAATATTTATAGAGCTGTGAAAAACGCAGTCATATCATCTCCTGTATCTTCTTGTAGAAGAATAGTACCGTCAAATCTTTCAGAAAGGGGCACTAATTTAAACCAGAGAAGTCACTGCGTATTTTCTGTCATCAGCAGAGCATGAAGATCCACAAAACTGCTGGCAGACGGACAGGCAGATCTCTGATTTATAACACAGGTAACATTAGGAGAAACAAAGCGTAAGGCACATCCATAATATTACAAATATTCACCATTAAATAAAAGAAGGGGTTATGAAGAGGTTCATTTATTTCTATATTACTTAGTGTCACATTTCTATTCAGAATTTTATGAAATGTTGGATTACTTTGCAATTCCTACTTCAGATATATCTGAATAAGATACAGAGCATATTTTGCTATATGGATTCATCCCAACATCAGTATTTTTGTGTCAGTCAAGAACTATTTTCACCATTACTGCAAAGTTTTGCCCCAACTCCTTTCCATTTTTTATGAAAATTTGTTTTATTATAAGAAAAAAAATAATTGATAACTCTCCTACAAAAGTCGTAAGATCAAATCCTTCATAAATACAAGTAGGGGCAATCTTTCTAGCTCAAGATCTTGTACCTAACCTTTACAGCAGGGAAAAAAAAACTTCACGTGTCCCAGATGAGATCCACTGAGTATGTTAAAAAAGAAGAAAAATAAAATTTGGACCACCTCACAGAAGAAACCAGAATCGGTGAGCACTATGATAACAGAAAGAAATACATAAAAGATCTAAGACCATTTCTCATACCAAATTTTTAAGTGATAGACTAAGAAGATTTTATTTTTTTTTTTTCCAAAGGAAGATCTGAAAAACATGTTCTGAAAAACCCACAAAGGCAGATTTTTATTTTCCAGGCATAAAGCGTTGATCAGCACCTGACAAAAATCATAAGAATTTGCATTTGTTTTTCCTGCATTTTTACTTTTATTGTAGAATATTGCTGCTGGTTCATTTTTTTTCA